ATCTATCTATCTATCTATCTATCTATCTATCTATCTATCTATCTATCTATCTATCTATCTATCCATCCATCCATCCATCCATCCATCCATCTAATCTCTATTCCATCCATTTCCTATAAAGTTCAGTGTGCCTTTTATCTTTCCTCTCTATCTGCCACATCAATAGCAAAGAGAACATCTCCCTGTTCCTCTGCACAGATCTGAGCAATGTGGAAGGGAAACATTGGCCTGGATTTCTCTGAGGAATGGACTTCAGGATCCATTTTTAAGAAGGGTTTTCTTCTGGTTAGTTGAGGAGATACAGTTCTCACACAGGAATGCGTATAACAATTACTTGATAGAAAGAAGGAGGGAAGGCATATTGTATGAGGTATTTCCCCCCCCCCCCAATTTTTATTGCTTATTTTCTATTGTTTTTGTGTGTTTTGAATATTAGATTAAATTTCTAATTAAAAAAATGAGTGTGGAATGTGTTTGGAAGTAATGTGGGTGGGTGCTTCAAGGTTTTGTCCTGTTATTTCGGGTTTTTTTTATTAATGGGATGAGGTTGGCAATCGTTTAGGTCAGTGTCTCCTTTCCTATTTGCATATCATTCCCCTCCAAGGGTGCTTTCCGAAGTTTAGTTCCCTCTTCTTCCAAACGACGCTTGCAGCTCAGCTCCAGGGGCCCATGAGTGCCCTCTTGGGGGGACCTGAAAGAGAAAAAGTGTGGGATTGAGGGCCATGGACAAAAGCTATCAATCAAGTCGAATAGGACTTGGTGGCACAGAAGGAAGCAAGGATTCAATTAAAGGACGAGCGTGATTTTTCGGTCTTGTGTCACTAGATGGCGCTGTATCAATAAGCGACACTCGAGCGTAGAAAGCCGTGAATACAGTACAGCGGCGGCCGAGCTCTTCTAGGGATGGGGAAGGAAGGCTGAGATTGAAACGGGTTGGAACGATAGGGTTGCTAGAGAGGATATAGAGGAGAAGAGGAAAAGGACAGAGGAACTTCCTCTTCCGGCTGATAATGGCGTCGGCTGATCTTCTTATGCTGCTTGGAGGACCGAAGCGTCTCCTGGGAGGTGAGTGGAGGGCAGGTCGGAGGAGAAGCTGGGAGCAAGTCCGGCCCTTTTGGGTTTCTCCACAACGGGGAAGCAGGAGAGGAAGCAACGAGGGTGAAACATGTGAGGCTGGTGCTGTATATTCTTCCCCTCCCCGAATTTTATTTTTCTGGGGCTGCAGGATTTAAAACTGCCGCCTGTGATTTTACCAATGGGAGATTTATAAATATATATATATATTGATTTCTGTTTCATATTCGTTAACCTGACATTTCCCTCAGTCTTCACATAACACTTGATTCCTTCTGATTTTATTGACCCGTTTTATAGACCTGTCAAATGAGGCGTTTCATGGGCAAAACAGATGCTTTAACTCTTGCATTGGATTTGGGCATCGTTTCATTTGTTAGTGGCCCCGCCTTTCTAAAATTAGATCAAAGAATTTGAGCGAATACACTTCTGGGACATTTTGCAGACTGAAATAAACATAAGAGATTTTTACATACACTAATTCATAGATGTATATTTATGTGTTCATATATGTGTAAACTCTATAATCTTCAGTATTTTCAGGAATATTTTATAACAATTTTCAATGCTAATAATTCATAATTTACACAATGCAAGAAGAAAATGATTGAGCGTAGATTCAAACTTAGATGTTTTTATGTGCCAAAGGAATCATAATTATTACAGGTTAAACTACCATTTTGATGGTATATGGTAATACACGTGGGGCTTTTTTGCTGTTTCCTCATGTTCTGCAGCCATTTTTTTAAGAATATTGAAACTAACTCATTAATATGAATCTTACAGACAAAGAAGATGCTAAGAAGAGGACTGTGAATAACAGAATGAGAAGCGGTGTTAAAACAAAAAAAATCAAAATCTTTTCCACTTCCTCCAGAAAGTGTTAGAACACTTTTCTTTCCTCAAAAGATGAGAAACAAGGGAAAGAATAAAGTTTTGAGCTGGAAACAATAGAATATGTGGAACTCAAGGAAAGATTAATTAAAAAGTCAAAGGGGATAATTTCCAAATTTGGAAAAAGTGAAAACAATTGGAAGTCAGTGGGAAGGGAAAGTTCCCTTGGATAGCCAAAATGGGAAGTCATTAATGAAAGAATTTGAGGAAGGAAAGAATAGCTTATATCAGAATATCTGCAGATAAGAGATCAGAAATATTTTTCGCCTCCTCAAGTGTCCAAGAATATCAGTGTTAGAAAAACACGCAGAGGGCCTCACATTGGGGAGAAACCCTTTGAATGTCCTGATTGTGGAAAAAGTTTCACTCGGAATTCCCACCTGGTGATACACCAGAAGACTCACACTGGAGAGAAACCATATGAGTGTCCTGATTGTGGGAAAACTTATACTTGGAAGTCTAATCTGATGAAGCATCAGAGGATTCACACAGGAGAGAAATCATATAAATGTCTGGATTGTGAGAAATGTTTCAAGCAGAATATCAAACAGGTGATACATCAGAGAACTCACACAGAAGAGAAACAGTATGAGTGCCCAAATTACAGTTAAGAGTTTCAAGCAGAATGCCAGTGTGGACTGACATGGGAGAGAAAGCGTATCAGTGTCCAGATTGTGGAAAAGGTTTCAATTGGAATTCCGACTTGGTGATACATCAGAGGATTCACACAGGAGAAAAACCATATGAGTGTCAGGATTGTGGGAAAAGTTTCAGCAGAAATTCCCACTTGGTGGAACACCAGAGAATTCACACAGGCGAGAAACCATATAAGTGTCCTGATTGTGGGAAAGGTTTCTCTTGGAATTCTAACCTGGTGGTACACCAGAGAACTCACACAGGTAAGAAACCATATCAATGTCTGGATTGTGGTAAAAGTTTCAATTGGAATTCCGCCCTGATGATACACCAGAGGACTCACACAGGAGAAAAACCATACGAGTGTCTGGAGTGTGGGAAAAGTTTCATTCGGAATTCCGATTTAGTTATACACCAGATGACTCACTCGGGAGAGAAACCATATGAGTGTCCAGATTGTGGGAAGAGTTTCAGTAAAAATTTCAATCTGGTGGTACGCCAGAGCACTCACACAGGAGAAAAACCATATGAGTGTCCGGAGTGTGGGAAGCGTTTCAGTCAGAATTCCAACCTGGTGATACACCAGAGAATTCACACGGGAGAGAAACCCTATGAGTGTCCAGATTGTGGGAAGAGTTTCAAGCAGAATGCCAACCTTCTAATGCATCAGAAGACTCACACAGGAGAGAAACCATATGAATGTCCTGAATGTGGAAAAAGTTTCAGTAGGAATTTCAATCTGGTGATCCACCAGAGAATTCATACCGGAGAGAAACCATATATGTGTCCTGTTTGCGGGAAAGGTTTCTGTCGGAATTATCACCTGGTGGTACACCAGAGAACTCATACAGGCAACAAACCATATCAGTGTCTGGATTGTGGTAAAAGTTTCCATTGGAATTCTGCCCTGGTGATACACCAGAGAACTCATACCGGAGAAAAACCATATGAGTGTCTGGAGTGTGGGAAAAAATTTGTTCAGAATTCCAAACTGGTGATACATGAGAGAACTCACACAGGAGAGAGACCGTATGAATGTCCAGATTGTGGGAAAGATTTCAATAGTAGGTCTAGCCTTATAAATCATGTAAGATTACACATAGGGGAGAAACCATTTTAACGCTTAGCTTGCTGTGTTTCACACAAAATTCCTCTTTTATCGTACAGAAGATATTCCATGAAGTGTTATTCAGTGTCTTTAGTAGAATCTTAAATATCATTTTTAATCTCTCATTGCAAGCTTAGCTGAGAAATTAGCTATTTTAATTTCTCAGCTGATTCTTTTTATCAAATATCTTTATTATTAAACATGAAGGAAGAGATCTGTGTTGGGAAGTCCAAGTCCTTTCTGAGCTTCCTTTCTCTGGCCCAGTGCAGTTGTTCCCTCCTACACAGGGAAGACAGGTGAAATCCTATGGTTGGCTGGCGAAAGAAACCTGCCCAGCAATGAAATTCCCTTTTGCACATAGAGGGGAACCGCCTGCCGTCTTTTGGCAGGCAGCTGTTTCACTCTGTTTGCTTGATCACCTACATTGTCTTATTAGTGATCGTGACTTGGAGGGGGCAGGATTCCATTTCTGGGAGAGGCAATCATATGAGTATCTTGTTTTAGGAGCAATATTTCTGCCCCCATTGTTGTCATAAGTCGACGATCACCTGTATTCTATGCACTAAAGTGGAAAGTCTCAACTTTAACCGTAATGGAGGAATGGTGGTTGAAGAGGATGGAACTTGTTGAGATGAATCATCGACTTCCTCGATCAGAGAAAAGACATTTTCTACACTCCTTGCTAATTGAAAGCCCTTTAGAGGCTTGTGTGGAAAAAATAAAAGTTATGACTTACAGTTTTGGTTATTAAAAAGCAGGTCATTGTTTAAAAAAGAAGTACTTTTTTAACCATAGAGTAAGATATAGTTTTGTATTTCTAATTATATTCAGTGTAGTAAAGGAAATTGGAAATAGGTTTACCTTTTTAGTTCTTATTAATATTCTGTTTAAAATAATAATTAAGGCAAATGTTTCCTCTGACCAGTTGTATCCAGCTCTAGGAAGGGACGCTCATCTCTGTTTCTTACCTGAGAGCGCCAGAATTTATCTGAAGACATTTCCTTGGTCATGTTTGTTGAATCAAGGACCCTGAATGAAAACACGTTCCAGCTCAGTGTTAGGTTAGGCAGGAGGGTGGCTGGCAGAAGCTCCTGGATGTTAATTTAAAATGCCATCTGAGAGGCAGGAAGGACCATGTTTCTCATATAATAAGGCCGGGTCTTTTTTTTTTTTGAGCCCCCCCAAAAATGGCTAGGCCGTCTTTTTGGGGGGGATTTAATTCCCCCCCACCCTTGCATCTTCAGGCAGGCGGGTGGCGATGGCTTGGATGTTGACCTCGGTGTTGGTGGGGCACTTTTTATCAGGGTCAACGCTGGCAGCACCATATCCGGGTGTGCAACAAAAGTACTTCCTAACAGCAAGCCCCCCCTGCCATTTCCCCCCCATTTCGCATGTTTTAATATAGGCCTTAGTTTGTGGGGAGGGGCTTAATTTCATTTCATGCCTATAAAACATGCTGGGACTTCCTATTGGGGGAGGCCGTATTGTTGGAGAAACAGGGTATTTATGTGTAGATAGGTGGGTTGGTTGGGGAATTTAAAATGAGAAAAGACCCTCTTGGCCCAATAAGTACTTTGTATGCCGTCTTGAGTTTCTGAATAAAAAGAAAATAAAATATTTGTTTTATTAAATTTACATGCTTCCTATCTCACTATCAAAGGAGGCGTGATGACCAGCAGTTAAAGATGCTGAGGAAGAACACGGACAGCCCTGGGTTAGAAATCCGAATGCCACACAGGCAGGATGGGCTATTGTTACTTTCTGCAACTCCTGCTGACCTAGCAGTTTGAAAGCATGCAATTTTTATTTTTATTTTATTTTGGTCATTTAATGACCTTGTAATCCTTTGCGGGGTGAAGTCGGGGCAACTGAATGGAGCTGAATGTTTAGTGGCCGGATGCCCTTTCTGTCGCCAATGCAGAATTTTGCAGCAGATATATTCTCGGTGTGCCCAGAGAGAGAAATACCAGCCTCTACCTAGGATCGAACTCACAGCCTCCTGATTATGAGGCAAGAGCTCTAGGCCCCCACATCACTTTTTGAAAGTATGCAAATGTGAGTAGATAAACAGTAGATAGATAAATTCTAGATGAATCTGCACAGCCTCTCCCTCAGCTATGGCCGCCTCAAGCAGGAGCCGTAAATCCAGGAATATCTCCAAATTGTACACGGTCCACAGAAGTAAGAGTCTGTCCAGAGTCAAAGATGAAATGTCATCTGGACAGGAAGTTGGGATGGGGGAGAGGCAAAAACACATGAACACTTCATCTTGCTAGGGTTGAATTGAAGCTGGTAGCCTCCAAGAATCACTTCTCCCTGGATGGAGATATTTCATGAGGTAACATAAGATGGATGCAGTCGGGTGGGGTTCAAATTTTTTTAACAACGGGTTCTGTGGGCGTGGCTTAGTTGGTGGGTGTGGCTTGGTGGTCATATGACTGGGTGGACATGGCTTGGTCATGTTATTGGCTGGGCGTGGCCAACTCAATGTCACTCACATTGAGGCATGCATCTCCTCGCCTGGCCTTTCATGACTGGGGATGCTGCAACAGTCATAAGTGTGAAAAATGGTCATAAGTCACTTTTTTCAGTGCCATTGTAACTTTGAACGGTCACTCCACACAAGCAAAGTACCAGCAAAGAGGGGAAAAAAACTCCAGAGAGGTTCCTGAGACAGGAAGTCTAGTCCTGCCAGGAAGGTAATAAGGGTTAATGGAGAGGCAGTTTCTGTAAGCAACACCAGAATGTTTCCTTCCTGCCTTCCTTACAGGATTAGGCCAGTAATTTCTTCTAACAACCGGTTCTCTGAACTGCTTAGAATGTTAACAACCGGTTCTAGCGAATAGGTGAGAACTGGTAGAATCCCACCCCTGGATGCAGTCCTTGGACGGTTTCATGTAGATGTTAAAAAGGAGCAACAAAAGGCTTAACTCAGGCCATATTGCAGGGACCTGAGACTCACTGACTCCTCTTCTACCCAGCCAAGTGGAACCAGCCAGAAAGGTCGAAGAAGAGCCACCATAACCCTTATTGACATCAATGACCACATCATTTAATAAGGGCAATTTCAGCAGTTCCACTTGTTATAACTCCAGTACCATGTGGGTCATTATGTGAGAACTTTGTGTGATTTGGATGTGGGAAGTGGTAGGAGTTCCAGGTAGGGATGGTGATCAGTGGGTTTGGACTGGTTCTGGCATCCCGGTAGGGAAAATCCTGACTGGTTTGGAGAACTGGTAGGGAAAATTTTGACTGGTCCTGCACGCCTGCCCTCACTCTTACCTCTCACATTTTTCTGCTGTTCATTAGCTCAGCTGATTTGTGAGGCAGAGTGGATTGCCGCGCCTCAGCTGAGCTAAAAAACTGCTCCCCTCACCAGTGCAGGGCAGGCTTTGAGTGCTGCACTGCTTGGTGTGTATTCTCTTAACCAATCACGCCACCGTCATAGGTTCTAAGACAGTGCTGGCCCCACACTCTCTGCCCCACCCCACCCTATATATTTTGCCTTTGCGCCACCAGCGAATCTCCGCGCCTCGCCTACTCTGCTCACCAAAGGTAAGCATGCCGCCTGCTTGCCCTGCGCCTCAGGTCAGAGCCCGGGGGCGTACCATTCCCCGGCTCCGGTCTTCCCATGGAGCATCCTCCTGAGAGCCCTTCACCTAGGCTGCCTACCTTTGGCCTCCAACTATGGCCCTGTGGGCCAAAGCAATTTATTTGGCCTGCAAAAGCCGCACACGCACGCACTCTCACATTTTTAGCAAACCGGTGGTAGGTTTATTTGAAACCCACCACTAGTCCCAGGCAAGCAGGTCAGCAACTGAGAGCTACGGGCAAGTGAGTGGAGGTTAGAAATAAGTAAATTCAAAAATAATATAGTATATAAGATGCTTAAAGGTTTTACAAATGGGGGTTGGACTGGATGACCTTGCAATGCAAACTTGGGTGATGAGATGAAACTATACAAAAGTCTGTTTTGGGGTTCTAAAGGCAGGCTTTTGATTTTGAACCTGCTTGTTAAGGTTCTAAAGACCACCAACACTTTGCAAACCGTCTTATTTCTTTTTAATAAATCCTCTTTGTTTTCAACGATCCAAGTTGTTTTTTTGTTGGCTTTGAGTTATTTCCAACTGCTAAAGCCCAGGACTCTTTAGAACAGCTTTCTTTCTTGTTTTAATTAGTTTTTAGTACACATTTTCCAATATTTCCACATTTCCAATCTTTACAGCGCTTCAGCATCAGTATCTCTTATAATTTTATATTGATATTTGTATTTTTCTTTCTTTCCTTTTATATACTATTCCTATGGTAACATTCTTACATATATATTTTGCCTTTTCACAAATACCTATATCTATATTTCCTGTCGCTCTTGCGACCCTTATACATAATCTTTGCTTTTATTCTCTAGCCACTCATACCGCGTATCCCAAATCCTGTAAAATTCCATTTCTCCCTTATCTTTTAATTCCATCGTTAGTCTATCCATCTCTACACATTCAAGCACTTTATCACCATACCCTCTGTAGGAGTAGATTAGCTTTCTACAAACTAGCGTCCTCCAAAGATTTTAACCAAACTGGGTATATTCTTAACCCCTCTGGGAATTGAGAAAGCTGCTCAGAGGAATTCTTTAGTGAGATTTAGGCCCTACAAGAATGCAGACGGAAAAATAATATCTCCTGTCTAGATGGGTGTGGAAGCAACGTGGGTGGGTGCCTCAATATTTTGTCCTGTATTTCATTCCTTTATTAATGGGATGAGGCTGGCAATCATTTAGGACAGTGTCTCCTATTTGCACATCATTCCGCCCCAAGGGTGCTTTCCTCCGGTTTAGTTCCTGCTTCTTGCAAAAGACTCTTGCAGCTCAGCTCCAGGGACAAGGAGTGTCCTCTTGGGGGACCTGAAAGAAAAAGGGTTTGGGATGGAGCCTCAGGGAGAAGAGCTACCGATGAGGTCGATGGGAGTCAAATAGGACTTGATGGCACTAAAGGAAGCACGGAATAAAATGAGAACATCTTCAAACGCCTTAAGGGAGAACGAGCGTGTTCTTCCGGCTTTCGTCGCTAGATGGCGCGATACAGAGAAGCAATTTACGCGCCTAGAAAGCCGGTACTGTACAACTGCAGCATGCAAGGGAAGGGAGAGAGGCTGAGCTTGAACGAGTTGAAACGATAGAGTATTGATTTGCAAGAGAGGTATCGCCAACGGATACGGCACAAGAAGAAGAGAGTCTGTGGAGGAGAGGAAGCAAAATGGTGGAATTTCCTCTTCCGGGTTGCACAGGCGAGGCTGATGGCGTCGGCGGAGGCTTTTGTGCTGTTTGGAGGGCCGAAGTGGCTCCTGGCAGGTGAGTGGAGGTGGAGTGGAGGTCGGAGGAGAAGCCGGGAGCAAGTCCGGCCCTTTGGGTTCCTCCACTGCCTGGAAGCAGAGAAGGGAGAAGGCTGAAACATGTGGGCTGCTGCTGCATATTCATTCCCTCCCCAAAGTTTATTCCTCCGGGGCTGCACGATTTAAAATTGCTGTCTGAGATTTTACCAATGGGAGATGTACACTGCTCCAAAAAATAAAGGGAACACTTAAACAACACAATGCAACTCCAAGTCAATCACACTTCTTTTTTTTTTAAAAAAAAAAACGAGTTTTATTAGTTTTTAAAGAAACAAAAACAAACAAAACATAAAAACATCCAGCTTTCTTTCATAAGTGTACAAGCAGTGTGTCGGTTGGTTTACAAATTTTTTGTGCCTCCATT